CTAAACTTTAAAATAAACCAAAGATTTAAATCTCATTAAATAATTAGACAACTTAAGTTAAGACAAACTTCTTCATTGTTTAAAGAATAAATTAAAAAACAAGATACTATGAATTGGAAACATGTATAGATTAATAAATATCTTTTAAAATGTAAATATTAAAAATACCATTTAGGAATATTGAACCAGCTGAGAAAATCTAAAAAAAAACGATTTCTCTTGATGATCCTGATAATAAAGTCTTTAATTTGTCTAATTATGTTTTACATAACATAGAAAAATGTGTACTGACTCATGATGACTTAAAACCTGTCTTTACACTGAGAAGGGGTTATTTTAATAAAGAAATAGAGCCAACAGTGATAATTTCAACGGCGTAATAACTCAAGCACATGGTACTGATTTAACATAATTTTAAAACTACAGTTTTTTGAAGTAAAACTGTAAATACAAGTAATGATGAATTAATATAATACATATTTCTCAAGCACAGTAGACATCAAATTGTATTTTTTAAAGAAAGAATTAATATTATACAACTCTTATCTTCTCAAGCATGGCAGAGGTCAAACTGTTTTGGTTTCAAGGCAGAATTAATATAATAACATTTTCTTTTCATGCACAGTAGTTGTCAAATTATTTGTGTGTTCAATCAGCTTGGACATTTAGATAATTAAAACAATATTTCATCATAGTTAAATCTTTACAAAAAGTTTATTAGATGACAAAAGTAAACAATGGTAAAGTAGAGAAGCAGAACTATTGTAACCCTTGATCCTACGAAATGCTGATAAAGAAACATGCAGACTTGTCAAACATCAATCTGAATGAAATTCAACAAAAACCAGCTAAGACACTTCAAGAGGAATGTACATTATTTGTTTAGTGACGGATCAGAAACTGTAATATAATTCTTACAATAACAAGAACTTTCTAATCAATCAATGTCTATCTTACCCTAATTTCTTCGTTTAGTCGCTTTTTAGCTTGATCTCGTATCTTTTTGTTTTCTTTCTCCATGAGCCGTAAAACCCTTCTGTTTGGAGCTTCTCTGATGTCATATTTGTCAAGCCACATGAAAGACTTTGCTGTGCAGAAACTCTGCCAGTAAGCATAGAACAGATGCACCACCTGGTAATAAAAATATATATTAAATAGCTTAGAATTCCGTCAAACAACAAATACACATTATAATAATTTGTAAACTTAATGCAACAAGAGAAAGGTCTAATATACTGTCAATTCTATACCATCAAACTGTGGACATTAATTTGCTAAAGTTTGTTTCAAAACATTATTCTAATAACTATGAAAACATGATCACAATGATTTTTCTTTATTATTATATCATTCTTATTTGTTATTAATTATTTTAGAAATTTCATGATCTATTAGGCCTAGAAAAAAGGAAAAGCCTAATTTCCAGTTATCTGACTGACCCTACGTAAAAATGGCCGACCGTTAAGTTTTCAACTTTTCCCTCAAAACAAAATTCATCTCCAGACTGACCCTATATAAAAATGGACGACTGTTAAGTTTTTTCAACTTTTCCCTCAAAACAAAATTCATCTCCAGACTGACCCTACGTAAAAATGGCCGACCGTTAAGTTTTCAACTTTTCCCTCAAAACAAAATTCATCTCTAGACTGACCCTACGTAAAAATGGCCGACCGTTAAGTTTTTCAACTTTTCCCTCAAAACAAAGTTCATCTCCAGACTGACCCTACGTAAAAATGGCCGACCGTTAAGTTTTTCAACTTTTCCCTCAAAACAAAGTTCATCTCCAGACTGACCCTACGTAAAAATGGACGACCATTAAGTTTTTCAACTTTTCCCTCAAAACAAAATTCATCTCCAGACTGACCCTACGTAAAAATGGCTGACCGTTAAGTTTTTCAACTTTTCCCTCAAAACAAAGTTCATCTCCAGACCGACCCTACGTAAAAATGCTCTTCGATTAATTTTTATATTTTCACTAAATTATTGCACCAATCTGCTACCATATTGTATAAGGTGAAGGTCATAAGAAGGTGAAGGTCATAAGAAACCACGTCTCTTATTTGTTGTGGTGTGTTAACTCTCACAGCAAATTATAGCTTAGCTTAGCTTCCATTTAGGTAACGTCATACATATTGTCATGGCAGCTAGACTATTGGTTGTTGCCTTTAATAAATGGCCACAGTTCGCTATAAAAGACAGTATCATAGTTTACTGGAACAGTCAAAAACATATTCAAGTCATATCATCCTAAACTAGATTCAAATGATTATTAGCAAACATGTTGATCTGGACGAAGTTTCAAAAGACATTAGGAAAGACCAGTTAGTAGAAACATCCGATGTCAAATCAACTGAATTTCACTGTAGGCCTAAACCAAAATGCCAGTACAGCAAAAGATATTGTGACGAAATCCAATTGGCCCAATAATCCACCTACTTACCCTATTTTCAAAAATGAAAAAAAGAAATGCCTACCTACCTACATACTCTATTTTTTTCAGCATGTAATAGGAAACAAAGCATTTTTTTCTAGGCCTTAAGTTCCTGTTTCATAATTTACTAAGTTTCTAACTTATTTACAGAGTAAAATCTACTTTCCTGAAGTCATCTCTCAGTTGAAGGCTTTAGTTTGACAATTCAGAGATGTATTGTACATTCTTTAATCTTACTGTTTCTGTATACCTCAATTTAAGAAAATATTTCAAATGTAATTCAAATTTTTTTTTTATAATGATCTATTTCTGGGAAAAAAAAATTGATATACTCTTAAACACAGAATCAAAACTGATTTTTCCCACTATTGTTTCAAAAAAAAAAGGTGTACAGATCTATTTTATAGTAACAAAGAGCATGGGTGGGATTTGGGATAAAAAATGTGTGGGGAACTGCTCACTTTTAATCCCTCCATTATAGTACCTGTGATGAAAGGCTTAGGTGGCTTAATGCCTTTATAATTAAGAGTAATTTATTATTAGTTACAGCTACCATTATCGGGGCTAGTATTTTAGTGTTAGCTTCGCCTATATAATTGTGTTATGGAAACTAGTTGGCTATAGCTAATAATAAAGATTTTACCTTTCATTTTGCCAAAAAATATTGGGTTTTACATTTTTTACTCTTAATATATTAGCACAATGTGTCTGGAAAGAAATTATGCCTCTATTATTATTGTTACCATAAAAAATAATATTGCTCAGTTGTATTGCTTTTATCTGTTTTGGTTATTAAAATATCTTTATGTTTAGGTTGTTTCGAAATAATACCGTTTATTTCTTTTAAAAATGATTAGAAAGAACCATAATCGAAAAAAAATATTAACACAAACTTACTTCTTCATACGAACTTTCAGAGTCCCCAAAACTTGGTATCTCAGCGTCTTCCATAAACATTTTTTCTGTAGCAGCAATTCTGTCAAACAGGTCCCGATAGACAGTGTAGAACCCCTGAAAAATAAGAAATTATCAAACAAGCTCTACATGTACACAATAACTAAAGACGCAACTACAATGAAAATTCTGGGTTATAATGCTTTTCGTATATAAAATAAATTTTGATAAAATTTGTCATGTTCAGAAATCACCAAGAAATTCTGTTACTTTAACCAACTAAAGGTTATTACTAAAACTTTTTACCATTATAACTACTGTTTTGTCAATTTCTTTGGTGGCATGAAATATGAAGTACTGAGGGTAAAAACCCCAGTTTCATTACAGTATTTCAGTTCAATTTTTACATGAACTAGTATCTTTAACAGTCTGCTAAGGTTCTAAAATTTAACTTAGTTACTTACTCAACATTAACAGAGGTTCTAATATTTAACTCAGTTACTTACTCAACATTAACAGAGGTTCTAATATTTAACTCAGTTACTTACTCAACATTAACAGAGGTTCTAATATTTAACTCAGTAACTTACTCAACACTAACAGAGGTTCTAATATTTAACTTAGTTACTTACTCAACAATAACAGAGGTTCTAATATTTAACTCAGTAACTTACTCAACACTAACAGAGGTTCTAATATTTAACTCAGTTACTTACTCAACACAACAGAGGATCTAATATTTAACTTAGTTACTTACTCAACACTAACAGAGGTTCTAATATTTAACTCAGTTACTTACTCAACACTAACAGAGGTTCTAATATTTAACTCAATAACTTACTCAACACTAACAGAGGTTCTAATATTTAACTCAGTAACTTACTCAACACTAACAGAGGTTCTAATATTTAACTCAGTTACTTACTCAACACTAACAGAGGTTCTAATATTTAACTGAGTTACTTACTCAACACTAACAGAGGTTCTAATATTTAACTGAGTAACTTACTCAATACTAACAGAGGTTCTAATATTTAACTTAGTTACTTACTCAACACTAACAGAGGTTCTAATATTTAACTCAGTAACTTACTCAACATTAACAGAGGTTCTAATATTTAACTGAGTAACTTACTCAATACTAACAGAGGTTCTAATATTTAACTCAGTAACTTACTCAACACTAACAGAAGTTCTAATATTTAACTCAGTTACTCAACATTAACAGAGGTTCTAATATTTAACTCAGTTACTTACTCAACACTAACAGAGGTTCTAATATTTAACTGAGTAAGTTACTCAATCCTAAACACTAAGCCATACACAACACAGAATGAAATGATACTTAAGAGACCATTAACAAGAGTTCCTGAAATAAAGTGTTGGAAACTTTTATTTTGTCTAGTGATGCTGTGAACATGTTCTGTTTATTTCATCTGCAAACCACTTCACTTACTAAAAACCAAAATATTATGAAGTTGGCTTAGATTATAAAAGTATAGGACTGTTAGAAGTTTATAATGTTGAATGTCTTCAAACACAATTAATAAAGCTCCCTCTCATTAAATCTAGGCAATTATAACAATAATAACATAACATAATGTTGAATGTCTTCAAACACAATTAATAAAATCATTAAATCTGGGCAATTATAACAATAATAACATAACATAATGTTGAATGTCTTCAAACACAATTAATAAAGCTCCCTCTCATTAAATCTAGGCAATTATAACAATAATAACATAACATAATGTTGAGAGACAACAAGGAACCTATTGGTCCATCTAGGCTGTCCCATCCTCTAAACTACAACTATTAACTAAAAAAAAAACTCAAAGCCAGCCCTTAGCATTCATATAGTTATCAAGTTTTTTCTTGAACACTAAAATTTACTGCCCCCACAACATCTGAAGGCAACCCATTCCAAACACCAACCACCCTGTTAGAAAAATAAAAGTCTTAGATGAAGATGACTCCTACCTTGCCAAAATTTATATGTGTCCCCTAGTTCTACTATTTTTCACTGTTAAATATGAAAACAGATGATGCATCATCACTATCAATTCCATTTACAATCTTAAACACATCAATCAGATCCCCTCTAACTCTTCTTTTTTCAAGAGAAAACAATTTGAGAGATTTCGACCTCTAATTCTATGACGACCCCTCCATCCCAGGCACCATTCTAGTAACCCTCCTCTGAACCCTTTCTAACAATTCAATGTCCTCCCTAAGGTAAGGAGCCCAAGACTGAACACAATACTCCAAATGTGGCCTAACCAATGACCTATACAATGAAATTATAATCCCTTCAGACTTGTATTCAACATTTCTGGAGATACAACCTAAGATGCTTGAACGGTTTAAGAGACTCATCAACTATTACACCAAGATTTCTTTCTTTCATGACACTGTTAAGGTTATTTCCATCCAAATTATACTTATATTGCATTTATTATAATTAAAACCCATCTGTCATTTATTTGCCCAACTCACTAAATGATCTAAATCTTTTTGTAAATCAGCAGCATCCTCTTCACAGCTAGCAACACCCTAGACCTTAATATCATCAGCAAATGTAAGTAATTTATTGACCATTCCATCATTCATGTCTTTGATGTAAATCAAAAGAGCAAAGGCTGTAAGACTGAGCCCTGAGGTACCCCACTTGTGACATTAATCCAGTTTGACTGAACTCCATTTGTAACAACCCTCTGCTTTCTTACATCCAGCCACTCTTCTATTCAGTTAGCTAATTTTGTACAAGTCCTTTTATGTGGCACCTTGTCAAATGTTTTCTGAAAATCCCAATACATCAAATTACACCCTTACCTTCATCTACATAAGCTATAACTTTTTCAAAGAATGTCAAAAGATTTGTAAGGCAAGATTTTCCCTTAGTGAAAAACCTTGTTGACTATCCAATAAAATTCTAAACTTTGTTAAATGACTTTGCAAAGCATCTTTTATCGGGTTTTCCAAAACTTTTCCCACTGTTGATGATAGACTAACAGGTTTGTAATTACTGGGACAATTTTTATCACCACCCTTGAAAAGAGGAGTAACATTAGTCAACTTCTAATCCTCTGGTACCGCCCACTATTCAAGGATTTATGGAAAAAAATAGTAGCAAGTGGCTCACATGTCCAATCTTTGATCTCCTTAAAAATCCTTGAATAAATATTATCTGGTCCAGGAGATTTATCATTCTTTAAACTTCCCAATTTTTTCTTAACAAGCTCTCATTTGACCTTGTTTCCATCTATGAACTGTTCAAGATGAGGAATATTGCTTAAATCTTCATGAGTAAAAACAGAAGAAAAAAGCATAACTTAATAACCCAGACATCTCAAGGGTCCTACCCCCATCCTAACAATTTGTTTACCCTTAATGTAGTTAAAAAAATCCTTACTATTAATTTTTACATATTCAGCCAACCTTTTCTCATACATCCTTTTTGATGTCCTAATTTCCTGTTTGACCAACATTCTTGATCTTCTGTAATCTTCTAAATCTCCTGTCATACCAGTCAATTTAAATTTCTTAAATTTACTATGCTTTTCTTTAGTTTTATCCCTTATACCCTTTGTGAGCCAACCTGTTTTTTTACTTTCAACCACCTGTTTCTTTCTATAAGGAATATGTTTATCTTGAATGTTTAAAAATTTTCCACATCTGATCAGTGTTTCTAAATAATTCAGTAACCCAATTCACAACAGATAATTATTGTTGTACTCCTTCAAAATTTGCTTTTTTGAAATGTGTAACCCAAACATCATTATTCCTTATCTCCATACGCAGCAAAACATCGAACATAATACAGCAATCATCAGTTACACCCATGTGTTCTCCAGTTTCCACCTTCCACAACACAATGAACAAGCAAAAAAAACCAAAAACTCAGTAAAGCATTTTATATAACTAAAAGTGAATAAAACAGTTTGAAAATACATTCCTGCTTTCTATAATCAAATGTTAGTTCTAAGAAACTTGTGTATTATGGTAATGAATCCAGGATAATATAAAAACATAATAACTAAGGAGAATTCATTGAAACATGGACTACTAATACTAAGCCTTTAATAAAAAATAAATATTAGCTAACCTTTTCATCATCACCATAACCCATATAACAGGATGCATTGAAATATAAAAATATGTCCACACTGTCGTCCTTGTACTCTCCGAGTCCTGTGATGTAAAATATTCAAGTTTTAGTGAAAAGTCCTTTGTTGGATTTAAGGTTTTACTAGATATTAACCAAAATACTCTTTAGCTCTTTAGTGACATTTCAACACTATCAAGAAGTTACTATGGACTCCTGTGATGTAAAATATTCAAGTTTTAGTGAAAAGTCCTTTGTTGGATTTAAGGTTTTACTAGATATTAACCAAAATACTCTTTAGCTCTTTAGTGACATTTCAACACTATCAAGAAGTTACTATGGATTCCTGATTTAATGGTATGTGACATAATACTTGCAGATAATATAACTGTCATGTAACATTCAAAATACCAAATTTTTTCTATGGTTTAATTACAACTGGACATATATTCCAAACTCTGCAAGCCTACATTGCTTTGATGCTACTACCATTAACTCAACAAAAATATTTACATTATTTTTTATACCTTTATACTACAATTATGAAGTATATGTTCTTTAACATATCAAGATTTAGGCCTAGCAAGAGGTAGCAAACATGCCGCTCATGAGATTTTATTTACACTTGAACAACCAGCCTCTCCACTACTACACTTGTGTTGTAGGTTGAAAGCTAGGAGAAAACTGGTAATTGATAGATGTTTTTATGATGTTGAAAAATGAAACTCAAATATCTCAGCATCAGACACCAAGAGCACTGTATAAGAACAACTGAAGATGTGACATTTGAAGATTTCCCTCGTCATTAATGATGTCTTTCTCGGAAAAAAACCTGAAAATTAATCATTTTTTATTTTTACTTTTGTTACAAAACTATCCTTTGCAGAGTGTTTTAATTTTTTAATAATTCTATCTTCTCATATTTGCATTTAATAACTTGGATATTGGTTTCAGAGTAAGTTTTAAACACTTTATTTTCAATAAAATATATTAAAAACATTATTTCTTACCACCCTTCAGAATGGCTTCTCTATGACGATCATACCAGGCCCTTTCTTGTGGATCAATTAAAACTTCGTAGGCTTGTTGAATCAGCTGAAATTGTTGCGTTGCCTCTTGAAGTCTGTGCAAATTTTTATCTGAAATAATATAATAAACTGTAAGGTGATCAAAGCTTTTCTTTAAAATAATAGGCTAAGCACTCATGAAAAAATTAAAAATATTTTTTTCTCACTTCTTAGTTATACATTTATTATGAAGCTGATTCAAACTGACTCATAACAGGGTCCCAGCCAGAGGGATCATAACTTAACAAATTAGTCGAGCAAATTTACGTATTCTGCCATATCAAAATAAAATGCTTTAGAGCAAATATTATGCTCCCTGAATGCCAAAAAAATATGTCATCAATTGCCTTATTTGCACATCTATATTTTGGAAGAAGTGCACTTGTGATGTAACACAAAATAATGAAAACACTTTTCCGCATTCGACTTATTAGTACTTAGAAGTGACTGTTTTGTTTTTTTAAGTAAAGAATCAGGAAGCTACAAGCTTAGTTGACTTCTTGTGTTGGAATCTTTTGTCAAAAAGCACCGAGGAAAAACACTTTGAAAGATGACCGATTCTTTACATGATTGAACAAATGGATTTTCTTGTCCTACCAATTTGTTGGAATTTATGTTTCTGAAGGAGGACACCACGAACTGATGTTTTACATCTTTAATCTTAAAAAAAAAACCTTTCAAAATGTATATCTATGAGATTACTGAGCAAGATAGATATGTATGGAATTGGTTGAAAAGTTATTTGAATATATAAAAAAGAAAAGAGTGGTGATAAATAAGTAATATTCTAATTAGAAGAACATGATATTAGGTTTCTCATGGGCTTCTTTTGGGACCTTTAACGATTTAGACAGTTTTGTGAATGATAAAATTTCTATATTCTCTGAAATCACTAAGATGATGTTATTTGAAATAATTCTCTTGATCTTGACAGTCTCAGGGAGAACTGAAAAAATAGTAGGGAAGTTTGAAAATGACTTACTTATTGTACAAGAAGAACACCAGTGCTGTGGAAAAAAAATGAGAGAAATTAAGTATTATTTGTCAGTAAAACCCAAAAGTTCTCAGCTGTGGGTAGAAGTGCAACTAGTGTCTTCAGAAGACAACAGAAGACTGAAGAGGATGCACAAAGTTGTTAAAACTAGTTTCTCTGATATCAGACTTGTGTCAGTTTACTGTGGTTTTTCACTAGTTTTAGCAGTTACTATATTTATGTACTATGTAATACTAGTAAGTTTTAGTATTTACTATATTTATGTACTCTGTAATACTAGAAAGTTTTAGCAGTTAAGTATTACAGAGTACATAAATATAGCTTAACTGCTAAAACTTATAAATATAGTACATAAATATAGTAACTGCTAAAACTTACTAGTATTACAGAGTACACTCTGTAATACTAGTAAGTTTTAGCAGTTACTACATTTATGTATTCTGTAATACTAGTAAGTTTTAGCAGTTACTCTTCATTTAAGTATTTTGTAATCATTTAAAGTTTCAGAAAGTTCAAAAACTCAATTTAACACAAAAATACAAAAGTATAATCCAAATGCTTTTGAAAAGTGGACCTTTCTTCATCTGTGGGCTAACTGGGAACCTTTTATTCTGTGATCCTTGTTGGTAAGTTACAGCAAAACCTAACTGAATGGCCCTCCAAGACATATTCTATCCCAGTGAAACACGCCCAACATAACATTTAGAAGTTAAAACTATCAGTAGCTTATCAAGGTTGAATAACAAAGTGGATACAAATACCAAAATGTAACTTCCAAGTACGGACTAGTGAATTCAAGAATGGGAAAAATATGAGACGCGTATAGCATCAAAGGATATTCATTTTACAAAAACGAGTCAATATGGTAATGAAAACCATTTAATTTATATTCCTGTAGCTTTATCTGAAAAAGATACAAATGAAAATATAAATACCAAGTGTTAACAATTAATGGATTACCTTTATCATAATCAATACTTTTCATATCAGGTTGATCTAGTTTTCTCAGCGTACGTAATGTGTGTTTTCAGAGAAACCATTCTTTAACAAACCAAAATGGCAAGTGAACAAAATATTACATAATTTTTGTTTTCTTTCACAATTAATTAGATCAATAACAATTAACTAATTATATTTATCTTAATGAGTTATTTTTTATATATGAATGTCATTTTTGCATCCTAGGCAAATCCAGTAAAATATGTTAAAAGTTCTCAATTTACATTACACAAAACACCAAAGTTAAAGAGTTCTTGGAGGAAAATTTAGTGTAATTTCTTAACAAAAGGAAGCTCATATTTCGGTTTAAAGAACTTTAGCTCAGAAGAAAGATAAATCCATTCATTCATTCACTGTTTTCTACACTTTCATTAGTTAAGGTGATTATGGAATTCTTCAAACATTGTTGTTAGGTTAGATAATTATGGGTCTTTTCCAACATTGTTGTTAGATTAGATAATTATGGGTCTTTTCCAACATTGTTGTTAGATTAGATAATTATGGGTCTTTTCCAACATTGTTTTTAGATTAGATAATTATGGGTCTTTTTCAACATTGTTGTTAGATTAGATAATTATGGGTCTTTTCCAACATTGTTGTTAGATTAGATAATTATGGGACTTTTCCAACATTTTTGTTAAGTTAGATAATTAGGGGTCACTTTCTACATTTCCATTATGGTATCGTCACTAACCTGGGTGCCACTGAAGAGCTAGTAATCGATATGCCTTCTTAAGATCTTCAGAGGATACATCACGCGATACTCCCAGTACTTCATAATAACATCTCATCCTAAAATGGGACAGAATAAATGACCAACATGTTGAAAACATTAAGAATACATGATTACGTATAACATAGTAAAACACTTTGATGGGTCTAACAAATAAACAAAATCTTAATTAAAACAAAAACAAATTAGTAAGCTAAATAAACCTGAAACAGACAATGTAAAATTTCTTAAAATACTTAGTTATAAGATAAAATTCAACTTAGGATGAGGAAAAGACAAATTCACTTTCATTATTTCCTTGAATTTTGAAAAAGAAATTCTTTATTCTCCAAAACATTCCAAAACTAAGTCAAAAATGGGACCTGTATAATGGCTGAATACAGCAGAGTTCATTTAAAAATATAGGCAAACTGCGTTTATGAAACACCTGCGATCCCACTAATTTTATACTGTATGTTTAAATCACCCCAATTTTATTACCCTTTGACCCATGACCTTCAAAAGTTAATCAGGTCTAGAAGTTTGTATGTGTAACCATTTTATAAGTTTGATCAATATCCATCTATCCTGTCTTGAGATATTCTTTCCACATGCTAAAGATGTACAGAAATTGGCAAATCAATAGGCTCCTCAGTGTGGGGCGTAATAAAAACCGTACTGTTGGTATCTTGCTATGGTTGTACACTAATACGTGTGTTATGTAGTCATTTGGCACAAAAAAATTCCATTATTCTAAAATGAAGCTTATACAAAATTATAGGTGATCTTTATTTACATTTCTGCTAATATGGAATTGAACTATAAGAAAAATGGTTAGTTAAGTGTTAAATAACTTAGATACAATCATGAAACTTCCCATTTTGTAGATTAAATCGGTTATCAGTAAATTCACCAACACTTACAAGTTATGTAACATATTTGATGAGAATTAAGCAAAGAAAACTATGATAAATTAATAATCTGTATAATTTTTTTGAGAGAGGATGAATCATTACTTATCCTATTAATCCAAACTCAAGGTGTCACAGGAGAGTTATTGTCAGGAGGTTGTCATTTAACTACACTTTCTATAACTCTCTAACTGACATGACTTTCTTAGCTCTTCTATTCTGTGGCACTTTATCCTAAGCTTTCTAAGTGCCCTAAGTCTACACCCTTTGTATAGCACAGATATCAAGTGTCTTAAAAAAAACAAAAAAACAAGAAAAATATTAGTTAGTCAAGATATACTTTGAGTAAATTCATGTTGGTTTTCATTCATTATACGGATATTTCACTAAAATGATTTTGTTGAGCTTTTTATGATTCAGACCCTCTAAAATATTTCCTTTTACAGAGGTAAGACTAACTGGCCTATAATTTCCAGGGTAACACTTTAAAAATAGGAGTAACATTAACAACTCTCCAATCTTCTAGCCACTGTTTTATTGACCTAGCAAAAATGAAAGATGGATCTGCATATTTAATATTTGACCTTCTTTAAAAATGAGTTGGGTTCTGATGCTTTACCTGTTTTTAAGCTCTACCTTCCACCTACAGGTTAATATACACATGGTTTAGATCAGTTTCAATATTTCCCATAGAATATTGCTAGTATCTCCTCGTACTTGAAAGCTCAGTCATCTCGTACATTTCAATAAAAACCTTGTCATAAGAATTCTTTGATAGCCCATTTTAACATTCTGATGAACTTAGAACTTTTCAAGCAAACTGTAAACTTAGTCTTTCCTATTACAAATAACACATCAAAATATTGTGTACGGCCATGTCCAGAATTATATATACATTGTTAACATTTTTATCAACATATCATTTAATGACAAGGAACCTATTGGTCCATCTAGGCTGTCCCATCCCCGAAACTATATACATGTTTTTATATATATATAAACTCCAACTCAGCCGTTATCATTCAAATACTTATCAAGCCTTCCGTAAACTTCATTAGTTTACTGGTTCCACCACATCTGAAGGCAACCACTTCCAACACTCACAATCCAGTGTCACATTTAATCGTTTTTAGTTTGTATCAGAAATCACTTGTAAGTATTACTAATAATAAAAAAGAATGACCATTTTCATAATTTTTTTTTTCACATTTCATATCAAACAAAATTCACAGACTAACTTTTACTGGAAACGAGCCTTTCTTCTTCATCTAATTCTACTTCATAACCACATTATTTATTACAATCTCATACAGACGATCCTCATTGGTTGTACCATAACTTCAAGTACTTAAAAAAAAAAGAGCTACTAGAATCAGACAAGTTCATTATACTCTCAAATATTCTTAGACTCAGAAGAAAAGAGGTGGATGTGCTTAGTAAACTATTACTAATTCTATTAGTATTATCTGTGTAGCTGTTACATGTTACAATGATTAATGACATTCTAAAATTATGGACAGTTTTTTTATCTTCATTAAATCCTAAGTACTTTTAATTTTACAAATGTTTTACATACGATGATAAATATCTGTTTATATGTCCGGAAAAATTCAGAGCGAACAAAATAACTGAAGGAGATTCTGAATTTCGGAGTCATAGTACTCAACTGTAGTAGTTGTGTCGAACACATAATCAAATTATATAACATTTAAATAATATTACATTATTACATTACATATTACTCACTTGTTGAGGCGTTCAACTTGTAAAATTTCTTCGTTTTTAAAACTAAATAATTCTTGTAGTAAAATAAACGCTAGTGTTCTGACAAAAGGAAAATGTATGAGAAGATGCCTTGAGCAAAGTCGTGGACTTCGGTAAAATAATTAAATAACAACACAATCGCGAAGTACGGTCGTATGGTAATCGTTGAAAATGAACCTCAGTTCAGTTTTAGTTTCTCGAACCTGCGGTACTGAAAACAGTAATACAAAAACAACCCTAAATTCTAACCTGTCCTCTTACAATCATTACAATTTACATTACTTGACATTTGGATCACGTTTCCTTCAACATTAACACAATATTCGAAAAATTGAAACACGTGAAACCACTATCTTCAAACCACATTGATTTTTTTAATACGGATGTTTCTCCATCTATAGGCTAAAACTTGAACCTTTTTTTTATTATTAAAAATTCGACAGCATTCCATTAAATCTAGAAGATAAGTGCACAGGAGGAAAAAAAGTTAAAAAACCAAAAAAAGACTAGATGTCTTGAACAAGTTTCTTGGTGAGAAAATCTATCAGCCTAGTGCACTTGTTTCTTATCCATATCCAGTTTTCAGGTTCGATATCCCTCGGGAAAAAATATATCACTCAGCTAATAACTGAATGTTTTCGAATCCATTAGAAACAGATAATATATATATATATCAAGTAACGCAAAAATTTTTAGAGCTCATGCTGGGTTACCCCACAATGTTACAGTAAATAGCGTCCTACTGAATCCTTTTTCTAGGTAGCTCTAACATTCATGTTTTCTTCACGTTTCCATTATAGTTTAAAATCACTAAAGGAAGGGTGTTTTAACCCGAAACGTTGTGAACATTAAAACGTCTATTTAACATTATCCATTTTTCATCGTATAAGTTTTTTTTTCGTTTTTTCCGATTTTATCATACCACAGCGGTTTATTTAGCTGATTTTCTTCTTGCAAAATTTGAGATTGTGGATCATAATGTATGTACGCCATCGCCATATAAGCACACTATGTTTCACACGAGCTTCATCATCTCACTATAAGTTTCCTTGCAAGATTAGGGTAGTATAAAAATATGTATGTAATTATGGTCAATCCTGTATAAGAAAACAAAACCGGAAACGGAAAAATCTATCTAAGAAAACTTAGACAGCTTCTACTTGAACGCCATAACTAGATCAACTTACAACGTTTCGATAAGGTTTTGTCATCACCTGATGATGACAAAACCTTGTCGAAACGTACATTTGCTGTTATGTTAAACTTATATTAAAGCTTTTCTTCATTACCCATTCAAGCCGTCTCCAACCATTATTAACATATTAAAAGCTTATCAAAGCTTTTATAAAAGTCTAAGGTTAGGTCGTAGGATAACATTATACTGTTACGCCTCCAGTCGTTAGTTAATTTTTCCGTAAATTCTTTCCGACTAAACTTTAGCGACACAAGTCTTTTCTTAAATAAAACTGGTTTATTCTTTCTGAATATAACTTTACCGATACACTTAGTTTCAACAGTCGCTCTATAACAAACGTTTTAACAACGAACGTTAACTTCAACAATACTTTCTGACTGCAGTTCAATTACTCACTACCTACACACATTATCACGTCACGCCGTGAGCATCTTATATATACCAGACCACCCCCAATCTAGCAAATGCTAGAGCACTCCCGAAGGAACAGGATAGTTCTAGAAACGTGGCGTGACACTAGTCACGTGACCTCGCTGACGCAACAATAATCTTGCGTTCCACACGTCCTTCTCTACCACAGATCACATAAATATTATCAAAATAATACATAAATTTACTATTTATAAATGTAACTCTCCCAGTGGCTCAGGTAAGTCTGCAGCTTAGGGCGTTAAAATTCGTGTTTCAACACCAGTAATACGCAAAGCACAGATAGCTAATTGTGTAGATTAGCGCTTAAAAATAAACAAACCAATCTAAAAGGTTTCAAGTTGAATCGGTATAAGAAATAATTTTAAATATTACGCCTGTTGTTATTTTTATACCACTTGCGATAAAAAATGAAGTTACGAAAAGAAACAAGAGCATTTTCACACCAAGAAAAAAGAAACACTCTGTTGCAATATTTCGTGTTAACTACACAAATTCGAAGGCAGCCTTCGGAGACATATTTGTTTATTTTCTAGATAAATAAAGAATATTGTGTCAACACATTTCCTCAGGAAGCTTTTAGTTGATGATGTACAGTCGCCTTCGCAAAAGACCTTTTGAATTCAGTTTGCTTGCGTGCAACAAAATACTATTTTAGTTTTATATTCGCGTTTAACTACAAACAACCATCAACTCTGCAATATGTTATAGTGAAAGAAGGCGTACACCAAGGGGTTCATTGTGTACATGTTATCAAATTAACATAAAAATAAGTTGAATGAATAGACATCATTTGAAAGATCTTGAAGTTAATATATGGGTATATATTTTGTTATGAATGTAAAAGGTTTAGCGTGTACCTGGAAATACTCAACAATTTTCCTAAGAAACTTTATAATCATTTTCTTTTATACCTGCCAGGAGATATATAAACGAAATACATTAGACATGTAACAGAGCACTGCAAGCGAATTTTGGTCAGTATATCACTTATATTAGTATATACAATTGAAAGCATAGCTATTTTCAAAATAAGTCGAGATAACAGGCTAAAGTAATTTAACATGGAAACTATATAACCATAGACAAGAATATGCCTGGTTTACTTTCCTCGAAAATCCATTTATTTGAGGTTGTGTATCATAAAAATTTGTATTAAAATAGTAAATAACTTGACTTTTTTCTTCAAAACCGTATATTATCTGATTTTTATGAATACACTGAAAAAATCTGATTACTGATGTTCCAAAGGTAACACATGTTAGTGGAGTCAAAATAAGGATTTATAACTTGAGAAAATAATGTAGACACTATTTCCAGCCTTGTTTGTTTATTTTTTTAGAGTCCCTAGTTGTAGGCTTGAACATTTTAATCTTTTTATTTTGATTAAACTTGTTTCTGTATTTTTGACGATCTCGACTCTCCCTTTTTAAGTTAACAGTTTTTACTAATCTTGTTCCTCAAGATTTTTTTATGTCCATTTATAGAGAAAAAATTAAGTACATACTTGCATATGCGTTCAGTTGAATGTTACATGTTTTTCAACAGCTTACTGCTGTGTTGGCTTTTTTTTTACACCCAACCACTATTTACTGAATCAGGTGGCTTTGTGCCTGAGGTTTTGTGTAAACACGCGTTTAACAAGCGTCTAGTACAAAAGCATCCCCTCCTAACAACATTGTATCGATTATGTATTTATAACCACCCAAGTAACTCAACTTTTAATGGAAAATAATTAACTTTAAAGTTTCATACAGCCTAGGTTTTGATGCAAAATACCCAGCCAATTTTGCTGTAGGCTCGTGAAACAATAATATGAACAAATAGGCCAATTTCGATTTTGTCTAACACTTATTTTGCTTATTAGCAATGTTTGGATGGTCTTAACTATTGAAAAGGGACGTTTTGAGTGTTGTTTCAAGAATAAGTCTGCTTTTTAAGGTGATTTTTGCAGAAAAGTAATATCACTATTTCTACTAAACACTCGACTTTCTTGCTATATGGTTTGTCGCATGCTCTATCACCATAGTAATACACCCAAGTCACAGGTCACCTAGTGCAGTGGTGTGCAAGCTTCTTTTTTATGGCACCACTTTTCTAAACATGCGTTTTATTGCGATCCCCCTCACCCCATATAACCTATTTGTGCATACACTGTACATGTTAATTGTTGTTACTATATAACTTGATAGTAGTAATATTTGGGCGGTAGTTTTTAAAACCTTTTTTAAATTTGTACTTTCGGATATAATTTATATGCTCCTATAGTTGTAGTTGCGTGCGCCCTTGGGGGGCATCCAACAGAACTACATACCAGGCATAATATGTGAAACATTAGAAAAAGATACAGCAGACCATAATGTGAAATCAGTGAGAATTGTTTTGATATTGTTCAACGCAAAGCTGCACAATTAACTCACTCTACTATGCCCTCAGCAGGGATCGAGCTCCAAATTTTAATGTTTGAAGCACTCAACTTTACCGCAGGGGTAATCTTGCATAGAAACTCTCTAGTTATACATCCAGACTGGGGACATATACTGATTAAATTTAAAAAGTAAAAATATTTGCTAAAATGTGTGGGGAAAGTTAAAAATAAGTCAAAAGACAAGAAACTCGATAATCCAAGCCCTCTCATAAATCAGAATTTCATTATTGAAATAGTAGAAACGCTTCGGAAAAATCTTGTTTCTATCAAGAACTTACGAACATTAATTTAATGAGAACACTAGATTTATTAGAACTTACGAACGTACACATTATAAATTGGTGCTTTTAAATCGAATAATTTAAGTTTGATCTTTTCACGGTAACGAATAATGTACCGAGGGGCAACTTTTCAATAATCGAATAAAAATTATTGTCATAAGAAACTATATCATCATATACTTTAATATTTATTATTAGCGTATATAGGCTGTTATTTAACAGCGTCCGTATACATTTTGAAAACAGTAGTAAAGAAGTGAAACTATTGACTAGGCTTATTGAAATAGTAAGCCTAATTGAAATTGAAGGAAAAAATCAAATAAAGAACATGGAAACCTCCTCTACGAACCTCTAAATTATTACGAGAGTGTAACAGAAGAGGCTGGAATGGTTACAGAAAATGTTAACTTACAATTCAGGTAAGATTAATTAGGCCTAACATTTGCTCTGTTCTAACTTCCTTTGTTACGTTGTTAACTAAACACATGACGTTTCTACAACGTTGGTAAAATTGATAACTTCATGCATTAATGTTATGACAACTTTGTGGTACTGTTAGACGTTAATGGAGAATATACATATAATTTAATGGATTTTACTAATGCACAACTATTCAACAACGTTTTAAAAACGTCATGTGTTAACTGGGATTATGTAATTAATTATACTTGTTTAAGTTAAACGACATTAATATTACTATTAGGCCTATTATATTTTGAACACAACATTCTTTAGTCAGTCTCCTAGAGTTTTTCAAGAAACAAATGTATAAAGTTATTTCCACCACCCTACCTCACCCCATAACTGCTGTTGTAACAAATGCCTTATATAAATAGTGTTTAAACCGTGTTACATAGAAAACAGGCGTGGGCTACTTTTACTGTTTTTGTTGTGTCCCAGCCAGCCTGAAGAACTCTGTGTTTAACGAAAGGCGGATATGGCGGAAATAATGTCGTACAAATACTATTTTACACTCTTCTTGAAAACCCTTAAGGAACTGTGTAAAGAACTTAGTGTTTAAAATATAACAAGCCTATTACTAATGTCTTATGACAAACATAA